GTCTCAAAAATCACAGCAATCCCCTTGCCTCTGCTTTCAAGGGCTGAGATTACAAGTGTTGAGTCATACCATACCTAGCCAAGAACAAATTATGACAGCATACATGGGGCTGGGGTGATGGCTCAGTAGGTAAAGTGCTTGCCACAAGAGGACCTGAGTTCAGAGCCCCAGAACCTGAGTCAGACATGGCAGCATGTGTCTCTACCCACTGCTCCCACAGCAAGATAGGAGGTGGAAAGAGAATCCTTGGAAGCCAGTGAGCCAGTCAGCCTGGCAAACACAGGAGTAAACAAGAAACCCTTTCTCAAGCAAGGTTGAAGGTAAGGAATGACACCCAATGCTGTCCTGGGACATCCATGCATGCACCATGGCATGTGTGTGCCCACACTCACATACATGCACATGTACACACACAAAGGATTTTTTAAAATGACAAATATGTATTAAAATATCATAGGGGAAACCCATTACATTATATGCTAACTTAAGAAATAGTAGTAAGGTAAATAAATTAGAAAAAAACGATGATGTACACAGGAGGATGTGCACAAGTGTTAGGTGAGTTTTATGTCACTTTACTTAAGGGACTTGTGCATCTGTGGATTTTGGTACCCTTGGAGGTCCTGGAAGCAATGGGGGGATGAGTTTCCTTCACAGTTCCAGATCCAGACCCAGCCTCTCAGGCCTTGGCCTCTGAGCCCTCTGAGGCTCTTGTTAGTCTCTGTCACTCTCTGCTATCACAGTCGGTTCTCCTTGCAGGCTCTGCACCTCTAGTAGTTACTGAAACAGAAGGACTCTGTAAGGTCCTTCTTACAGCTCATGTGTCCCTCTGTGTGCCTGTGAGAGGCCCTGCCTGTGCACCCACTCCTTTGACATCACTGACTCACCCAACTCATACAACAAAGCTTATGTCAAAAGGCACAGTGCAAAGGGCTAGAGACTGGAGGCTTGGCAACTGTCTCCAGGAAACTCTTAGCCTAACAGGTCAGCAAGTGACTATAGAGTCAGGGAAGAGCAACAGGAGGGGTGTGTGTGTGCATGTGCGAATGTGGGGCTTGAGAAGACAGATGAAACCACATTATCTCTATTTAACAGGTGAGACAGGGGCAGACCATTGCTAATTCTCAGGGCTCACTAATGGCAGGGCTGGAAAGAAAATCCAGGTCTTCTTAGTCTCAAGCCTATTGCTTGTCCCCTCAATTCCAAGGCACAGTTATCCACAGCTGTACATCTGATGATGGTGGGCTTCTGAGCTATATGTGCTTTCTGTTGTTAAAACAAAATACCTGACACCAGGTCATTTATAAAAAAGCTTAAGCTGGGCATGATAATGCACGCTTGTAATTCCAGCACTTGGCAGGCTGAGGTAAGAGGATTGTTACAAATTTGAGGCCAACCTGGTATACACACAGTTTTCTAGGACAGCTGGGATTAAATAGTATATAGTGAGACCATTTTTATTTTTATTTTGTTTTTTTGGTCTTTTTGAGACAGGGTCTCCCTGTAGCCCCAGCTACAGGGGGCTGGAGAGATGGCTCAGTGGCTCAATGGTTCAATGGTTAAGAGCACTTAGCATTCTTCCAGAGGATTGGGGTTTGGCTCCCACATTTACACGGTGGCTTACAACCACCTGTAGCTCCAGTTCCAGGGGATCCAATGTCTTTTGGCTTTTATGAGCACCTGAAAGCAAATGATGCACATAGACACATGCAGGTACACACGTACACATAAGATAAACAAATCTTTAAAAAAACAAAGCAAAAATAAAAACATCAGCAAACAAGTTTACTTGGCTCATAGCTCTAGAGGCTGCAAGTCCCAGAGCACAGCACTGGCATCTGCTGAGGGCATTCTTGTTCAAGGCTTCCTTCCTCTTCTTAAAAGGCACTGGTGGGGCCTCACTGTCATCATCTGATCTAGCCCTACTGCCCCCCCAAGGCTCCACCAACCAAATACCAAATAGTATGAACATGAATTTTAGAATTCTCTCACCCGCCTCATCTTTGTTTTTTGCAAATGAACGTGTGTGTGTGTGTGTGTGTGTGTGTGTGTGTGCATGCATTCTCATGTGTGGGCATGTGTGTGCATGTGCATGTGGAGGCCTGAGGTTGACACTGGGTATCTTCCTTGATCACTCTTTTTTTTATGCTTTCGTTGTGATTTTGGCATGTGAATTTCTTTTGTTGTGATTCTGATATGAAAACTAAGTTTGCTTCTGTTTGTATTATTCTGTGCCTTGGTCCTTTTCTTATTGGTTATGTAAAGCTGGTTGGTCCAGGTTTCAGGTTCTCTCAGGTTTTAATTTGGAGGTAACTGATGGCTTCAGATCAGCTACTCAGGGGCTCCCACAGAAGCCCAAGTCCCACTCTCTACCTTTTATATTGAGGCAGGATCTCTTGCTGAACCAGGAACCCATTTTGGCCTAGCCAGCTGGTTCTGGAGACCGACCGCCCCCCACCATCTGTGTGCCCTACCCTTCACCTGGCTGCTAGGTGTGTTCTGGGGATTTGAACTCCAGTCCTCCTGTTTGACCAGCAAGTACTTATCAGCTAAGCCATCACCTTGCCCCTGATTAATGGGGAAAAAAAAGCAATCAAAAAAATCCAGGGAGGAACTTGTGATTCTCTTGCCTCAGCTTTGCAATTGCTAGGATTTACAGGCACCTCCATTCCCAGTTTAGGGTTAAGTTTCTAATACGTGAAATTTTAGTGGGGATACATTGACCATAGCAATGTCTTATCAAATAATGAGTTCCCCGAGTTCTGCTGTTGGGCAGCAGAGATGGAGGGAGGTAGGCAGGTCTTAGGACAGGCCAGCCAGCTGGCTGACAATGGAGAAGAACACTGCATTAGACTCCAGAGTGCTAGGAAACAGCAGAAATGAGCTCAGGGGCAGGAGTGCCTCAGAACCAGCTCTGCCAGGCAAGTGACCCAGAATTCTAATTTATCACTGCCCTTCTGCCAGCTCATTCTCTGGGTCTTCAGAGTCATCTCTGGAATAGAGCAAAGAGTGGGGGAGGGGGCCTCTGGGGGCCTCACATGCTGGATAACTGAGGACCACAAATGGCTAATAGCTCCTGTGCCCAGACCATCACTGAGGAAGTTGGCATGGTACATAGTGAAGATACCTATTTGGGTAAAGAACTCGGGAGCAGAAATTTTTACTGTCTTCTCAGTAGTAAATTCTTTCACATACAGCTGTCCTTCTGGTTTGCATTCGAGACTGTTTTTTTTTGGGGGGGGGTTCTTTTTGAGACAGGGTCTCCCTGTAGTCCCAGATGTCCTGCAACTCACTATGCTTTACCATGTATTCTGAGTTGTACTGACTATGAATCCTAGCAATCCCCCTACCTCAGCCTCCCAAGTTCTGGGGTTACAGGTGCAAGCTACCATGTCCAACCATATCTGCCTTAATCCTCCAGCTGCTCTGGGGGATAGCTTCCACAGATGAGAAGATTGACAGTGAGGAGCAAGAGTTTAAAGGAAGCGAAAAAAGAAAAAAATTTAGCCCTGCTCCATGACAAGGATTAACCCCTGTGCTTTCACATACATGAACAAACCTAGTCCTTCAAAAGCTTCACACACAGCATCAACATTTGTGTCCCAGGAGTTCCAAATGAGTTCAACTTGGGACAGTATGTGCAAAAATTTGAGGTGGTAGCTTCTGCAATATTCTAGGGACAGCACAAATGCCAGGGTAGCTGTGAAGACAACCTGAGGGCAGGCAGAGACATGTGGACCACACCTAAATATTTTGTTGTCTGTGAATTGAACCCAGAGCCTGGTTCCTACTAGGCAAGCTACATTTCCAGTTTCATATCGATGATTTTTGGAGTTCAAGTAATCAGAGAATTCTAAGTGGCACGAAGAACTGGAGTGGGGTTTTTGATTGATTCCCCCTCTCCTTTTTATTTTTTAGACTTTTTGAGACTCCCAGCTGGCCTGGAACTTGATATGTAGACCAGCCTTGGCCTCCATCTCACAGAGATCCACCTGCCTCTGCCTCCTGAGTGCTGGGATTAAAGGCGTGCGCCATTACACCCAGCCCCAATTTTCCCCCACTTTTTTGGGGGTCGGGGTAAGGGTCTTACTATGTAGCCCTGGCTGGCCCTGAACTAACTTGAGCTTGGCTGTCTCTGCTTTTCAAGTGCTGGGACTAAAGGCATGCACTACCACACATGGTTGTTTCTTTTCTTTTCTTTTCTTTGAGACAGTCTTACTATATAGCCCAACTCGGCCTAGAACTCACTATGAAATATGAAGTTCAGGCTGCCTAGAACTCCATGACCCTCTTCCCTTGGCCTTTGGAGTTCTGGGATTACAGGCATGAGCCACCATACTCTGCTTGGTAAAACAAAAACATAAACAAAAACAGAAAACAAACCCAAATCAACTCCAACTCCCTAGTAGAGAATGGTATGGAGGGAAGCAGAGACAAATTGGGTTTTGATGACAGGGGTTTAAGTTGAGAGAAAGGCAAAAGCGGGCTAGACCTGGAGTTGTAGCACAGGGCTGACCAGAGATGTAAGCCAATGAGGAGATAAGTCAACAGGGTGTGTGATTAACTCTAGTGGATGAGGAAGAAGTAGCTATAATTGACAGGTCCTTCCCTCTGGTCTGCAGCCCTTACCCTCCCTGAGCAATCAGGGCCAGACACAGTCTCATCCTATGAAACAGCAGCGGGTAAGCCAAGGTTATCATTCCTTTGCCTGTCAGAATGCCACAATGTCTGCACCTCAGCTGGGTGCATCTGTGTGGCAAGGTTTACTCTGATAGCACAAGTCTACAGCTTCTATTGTGTTGTACTATCTACTCACTAGTCCATCCTGAAGTGTTCTTGGTCCTGTCGAAAGGCTGTAAAAAGAAATGTACCATTAACTCACAGCCAGACTTGAGGCCAGTGTGTCCTGAAGCCGTCTTGCCCCCTGTGGTGACCTCACTGACCTGGTATAACTGTCTAGCCAGGGTGGGACTCGCTAGGAACAAGGCTAGACAAACATGTTTCATGTGGAGCTTTATTTGTTTCTGATATGTACAGATATGTACAGCTGGTATGAGCCTATGGTACATTATTTCACAGAATTATCTTACACACTGTGCACATTCCTGGGCAGGAAGTGGCAGATTCTGTTCCGATCATTACATGGCTGGTTGAGGAAAAGGACCCTAACAGGAGCTGCCTCCTCTTCAAGGACATTCATGGGAGCTGCCTACCCTTGCAGACACTGATGCCTCCCACAGACAATCTGTGCTTTCCACCTGCTGTGGCACATGATGGCGGGAGCTGGGTGGTGGTGGCAGCAGCAGCTGCATCCAGTCTTTCTCAAGAATACTTGTGCAAAGGCTCCAAGGCAGCCATGACCCACTCACCGACATGGCAACCTGACACCTAGACCCTGACTGGAAGCCCAGCCCCAGCATGCACAACCTCCTAAGCAGGGCAGCCTGACGTGTGTGGCAACCTGGCTTCATGGAGCGCTGGCATGCATCTTCTCCAGGCAGCTTGTCCAGAACATAACCAGCCGGTTGTCACGGTTGATACAGAAGTCCGTGAAGTCCTTCAGCAGCCGATCACCAAACTTCTCATCCCCTGTGGCACTGGAGCGCCATGTCTTGGTCAGCATGGTATTGTAGGCCCAGTTGTAACCAACCCGTTCCTCACAGAACATGTTCTGATTGGTAGAGCTGGTGGAGTTCCGCCGTCGCCGCTGTTGCCCTGAAAACTTGCGCTTGGAATAAGGCAGCTGCAGAAACACTGTTCCTGAAGGGAAAGGGCAGGCCTGTGTGGCAGCCACTAGCAGACACCTGTGGTTGAGGTGGTCCTGCTACTGCAGGCTCGGGGTCTTCTCAGGGCTCATGCGCCTGCTGCAGGGACCCCCGCACCTGCCCAATTTTTTGCCCACAGTTCCTTACCTGTAACATGGATGTACTGAGGCTTGTTCTCAGCAGGGAAGTTAAAAGCAGAAGCAGAATATTTATCTTGTACAAACCCAAACCTATGAGAAGGACAGAAAAACACACTGGCTATGGTCTCATTAGCTAAAGAAACAGGGGAGAGTGTGTAGCTAAGGCTTCAACAGCTTGAGACGCAGTGGTATCAGATGGTCTCCTCCAACTGGAGCAAGCAGCCTGCTTAGTTTGTCCTCACTCTTCTGGACATCCCTGCTTCCAACTCCAAGGCTCACCAGCGCTCCTGCTCATGGACCATGTCACTGCAGTGACTGCTGCAGTCTTTACCCAGCCTTCGTCCCTGCTTTGCACACCCTCCCTTCTCCACACCCTCTACCTTGCTTTCCCATCAGCCTCCCCAGCCTTCACTCTGCTGCTTGTGGAATCTGTCTTCACTGGCTGCTCACCAACCAACCCACATCTGCTCCTTGTCTCTTTTCCTTAGCCACATTGCTCTCCCTTTCCCCACCGCTGTCATGCTAAGCATTTAGAAGCTTCTCAAGAGAGGCCTTCACTGACATGGAATGAAGTATCTTAACTCAAACTTTTTCCTTAAAGGTGAGGAACAGCAATCTGGGACTCTGCTGAGTTGCACTCTGGAAATGGGCAGAAGTCATTTCTCATCTATGACTTGTTCTGTTCCACTTATCTATAGCCTGTTCTATTCCTGGTTTTTCTATTTCCATAAAGTACATTTATTATAGCCCTACCTGCTAAGAGTTGTAAAGGACATGCTAACAGATGTGGCTTCTGCCCTCTAAGTCTGAGGGGTTTATGTAATGAAGGCAGTGATGTAGGAGGTAAACTGCATCTTTCTTGGACTGAGCTCTTAGGGGAAGTGCTATGTTGTAGCCTCTAAGCTGCCAGCTCTACAACTGGATCCCTGTATATACCAAAGGACATATGAAGTGAAGTACGCAGATTCAGTGGGTAGATAAACTACCGTGCACTGCCAACTTCCTCATCCATACGACACATATGGATCTGCCTGTGCTTCCTTCCTACTTTCCAATCACTTATTTTTAATGATTTACTAAGCAATGATCAGCCCAACCAGAGGCTTATTGCTTTATTTCTTCTTTAAGTCACTAGAAAAGATTTATTTACTTATTTATTTATTTATTTATTTATTTATTTTTGGGATAAGAGTTGCAGGTATCCCAGGCTGGCCTCAAACTCATAATGTAGATGAAGATGACCTTGAACTTTTGATCTCCCTGCCTCTACCTTCTGAGTGCTAAGATTACAGGTGTATACTACCACACTCAGTTTTATGTGATGCTAAGGATCAACCCAGGGCTTGGTCCATGCTAGGTAAGCATGCTATCAACTGAGCCACGCCCCCAGCCCAAGACCTTATATTTATTTATTTAAAAAATTATTTGTATGTATGTGCTTATGCTTGCTTGTGTGTAGGTGCACTATGTGTGTGCAGGTGCCCATGGAGGCCAGAAGAGTGTGTTGGCTCCCCTGGAACTAGAGTTACAGGAGATTGTGAGCTGCCCAATATGGGTGCTGGGAACCAAACCTGGGTTCTTTGAAACAGTAGCAAGTGCTCTTATCTTTGGAGCAATCTCTCTGGTCCCAAAATCTTTATTTTTAAAAAACACAATTTAGCCAAATGATTCCAGCTCCTTCATTTTTCCATATGGGGCAAGCCAGGACTGTAGTGAAGGCAGGAGCTTTCGGAAGAGGATGTACTAATCTCACCCCAATTACCCAGATTAAGTTGAAGGAAGAGCTGGGAGTCACTGCAGAGGGGGGTCCTGGGGATATGGGCAGGTTTCTAGTTTTTTTCTGAGATGGACCTTTTGGGTGGGCTAAGTGTCATTTTAGAGTGACATTGCCACTTGGAGTTCTACTCCATGCAAAAGGGACATGTAAGGCCAGGGATGCAGCTCAGTGGAAGAGTGTTTGCCTAGCACACAAGGCCTTGGGCTCAATCTGCAGCACAAAAAAAAAAAGTTACAAGTAGCTGGGCCTGGTGGCACATACCTTTAATCCTAGTACTTAGGCAGAATTTGAGGTGTGCATAGTGAGTTTCAGGCCAGCCAGGGCTCCAGGGAGCCTGTCTCAAGAAAAAAAAAAAGCTACAAGTAAAACCAAGCACTCTGAAAAGGGCGCTTTGCTAGGCACTACAGAAGGAAGCAAGAACGGCAAAAATGCAAACATCTGCTCTTCAGGGGCCTGCAACCCAGTATAGATGGACGTTTAAAAGAAAAGGGAAGAAGAATTTAGAGGAATTTAAAGCCTGGTGTGGTAGTACAGCTTGTAATCCCAGCACTCAGGAGGTGGAAGCAGGACTCTAAACTTTCTGTAGTCAACCGGGGCTACAAAAGAAAAGGAGGAGGAGGAAGAGGAGGAATTATTCAGAGTGGAGGGATCCGAAGATCCCCAGTAGAGGCGGACTCTAACAGGTGCAGAGGTGGGAGCTTGGGCAGAAGGTGATACACAGCTGAGTCTGTTGCAGTGACACATGGGGACTGCTTTGAAGACATATGAGGAAATCAGAGGTTGGAAAAGCAGGCTGAAGAGGCAACAATTTAGAGACTATGACCAGGACCTGGGCTGAGGAGGATCAGGATAACAAGATAATTTAAAGGAAAAAAAGCAGACTTGGCAAACAAAAAGGTGGCATCCTGTCAAGTGTTAAGGACTGCCCAATGAGGGAGAAGGCAAGCAGGAAAGGAGCTGCCTTGCAGCCCGTCAATGAGCTGGGGTCTTCCATCTCTTGCAGATTCACCAACTGAGCCCAACAACCCCATGAGAGGTGAGAAAATGAAGGCTCAACTCTAAGACTTGCCATGGGACTTCTAAAGTTTCTCAGCAATGTGGGTAGAGGTAGGGGGACCAGGCCTGTTTGCTTCCCACAGCAAGACCCTAAACACTGACTACTATGCTGCCTCCCTTTTGTCTGCCTAAGATCTGTAGCCCTTTTCTTTTAAAATATTTTATTTATTTTTTGTTTTATGTGTATGAACATTGTACTGGAAAGCTTTAGTTGTCAACTTAACACACCAGGGAAGAGAAAGCCTCATTTGGGGAACTGTCTCCATTGGACTGGTCTGTGGCCATGTCTGTGGGTTATGTTCTTGATTTGTTAGTGATGTGGGAGGGTCCAGCCCACTGTGGGCAGTGCCACTCCTGGGTAGGATGTTCTGTATTATATAAGAAAGCAGGCTGAAGGCTGGGCATGGTACTGCATGCCTTTAATCCCAGCACTTGGGAGGCAGAGGCAGGTGGAGCTCTGTGAGCTCGAGGCTAACCTGGTCTACATAGTGAGTTCCAGGCCAGTTGGGGCCACAAGGAGACCCTGTCTCAAAAATACCAAAAGAAAAAAAAAAAAAATCAAAAAAGAAAGCAGGCTGAGCATGAGTCAAGAGGAGCAAGCCAGTAAGCAGCATTCCTCCATGGCCTGTGCTCCAGCTCCTGCCTCCAGGTTCCTGCCCTGAGTTCCTACCTTGGGCTCCCTGATGAATTGTGACCTGGGAGATGTAAGATAAATAAACCCTTTCCCCCAAGTTGGTATTGGTCAGAGTGCTTTGTCACAGCAATGGAGAAACAAACTAGAATAAGTATATAGCCTGCATGTATATAAGTACACCCATGTCATGCACTGCTCATAGAAGTCAGAAGAGGGTGACAGAGTCCCTGGAAATGGAGTTACAGACTATTGTTAGCTGCCATGTGAGGAACCAAACCCGGGTCCTCTGCAAGAGCAGCTGGTGCTCTTAACCACTGAGTCATCTCTCCAGCTCCCGTACCCCTTTTCTAAAAGGAGGAAATGAGTTGTCCTTGCATTCTTCCCATATCTTTTACTGAGTATCTGAGCTAGCCTAGATTTTAAGATAAGTTCTAAGGTAGGGCAGACTCAGTTTGGTGGGAAATGTTGAGACCTGTGGCCCTGTAAACCAATGATGTATGCTGGGGTAGGAGTGCAGGGTGCTCATGGTACTAGCTGAAGAGTATGAATAAGATGACACCAAGGAAGGCACAGCAAGCAGAGGGTCACTGAAGCAAGACTAAGAGGCTTTGTTTCATGAGTAATATGAAGTAGCAACTGGACACAGGCCGAGGGCTGAGGGACATGTTTAATCAATGTGCTTGTTAAACTGGTATTGGAGACAGCTAAGACCAGGTACCTGGGAAAGCCTTTTTCTGCTGTACAGATTAGATGCCAAGCAACGTCTACTGATTCATCCATTGCTTTTAAACAATCCATTATCTTTCTGACACAAGGGAGAGATGCTGGATACATTTTACAATGGTTCACTTCACCTTGTATCCTACAGCATGGCTTGCCTCTTGTTGGAGGCTATGGAGAGAGCTCTAAGCTCTCCCTTCTAAAGAAGAACAAAGCAAATCTTACAACAACGCTGGCAAGGCACATTTATCTCTGGAACCAAAGCAAAGTCCCGGTGGCAATAAGCAGCAAACCTGTCACTGGCAAGACAGGTCCCTTTCCCCAGGAACAAAACCAATTGGGTTTCACTCTGGTAATTGCTATTGGAGATAAATGCTAATTTGGCCCCACTATTCCTTCTTGATAAGGGACAAACCTGTGTGCAATGGCTTCCTGGAAAAGGTGCATTCGATCCCAATATGTTTCCGGTTCGAAGCCTGAAAGAACAAAGAATAAATACTGAGCTGTGATCACAAAGTCTGTAATTCTCCCACATCTGGGCTTCTACACTCTTTATTATTTTCAGCAATTCTTTTCCCTTGCACCTATGTCCTTGGTCTCCACCAAAGTCACAGAAAGGACAGCAAAGTGCTCCCATAATCCCTTCCCCTAAGCTACATCAGAATCTAGAAACATGATAGGTCCTCAGGAGTCAGTGAGCAACAGAACTTAATAAGATTTATTCTAATGACATCCTACGCCAAAAGTTGAAAAAGAGTATACTAATGTTATTTTTGTTTGTGTTTGATTTTGAGACGGGGATCTCATGTACCCAGGCTGGCCTCAAACTCTCTATGTAGCTGAGGATGACTGAACTTCTGATCCTCCTGCCTCCCACTTACAGAAAAACAAAAATAAACCTCAAGTGTATGCTAGCTGCTTCTGAGGACAAGTCCATGTTTTTATATCACCAACCTTCCATTTCCTTGTAAAGACAGGCACTGTTAAAGGCTCCATTTTAGGACTAAGGAAACTGAAGCAAAAGAATATAAATATGAATTTCGGAGAAATGGTCAGCAGGGAAGGAAAACAAGAGCTGGTGAGTGCCCCTACTCCTCCAACCCATGCAATGCTGCACCCTGCCTCCTTCCACAGGGTGGCTGCCTGAGGAGGTAGGAAGGCCGAGCAGGATATTACACAGCAACAGGTAGCAGGGCCAGGGCTGCTCTCTGGATGGAGGGTTGAGGATCTTATTAGCAACTCTATTGACAACCCAGAGACTAAAGATGCCTACAGTGGCTTTGTTACTCTGTTCATCTGTTCATAATTAGAACTTTGGTCTTTTTGAGACAGGGTCTCCCCTCAAGACAGGGCCTTGAACTCACTGTGTAGATCAGGCTGGCCTTGAACTCACAGAGATCCACCTGGCTCAGCCAGGTACTAAAGGTATGCCCAACCATACCAGGCCTATAATTAGAACTTTCTATTTAAGGGGCTAGAGAGGTGGCTCAGGGTTTAAGAGCACTTGCCGTTCTTCCAGAGGACCCAGGTTCAATTCCCAGTACCCACATGGCAGCTCTCTCATCTTCTTCCTGTCTTTACAGGCACTACACACACATCACTATTGGCAATCAAAACACTTGTACAAATAAAAATAAATAAATCACACTCGGGAGGCAGAGGCAGGCGGATCTCTGTGAGTTCAAGGCCAGCCTGGTCTACATAGTGAGTTCCAGGACAGCTGGAGCTACAGGGAGACCCTGTCTCAAAAAGACCAAAAAAATAATAATAATAATAATAATAAAA